GTTACTTCTCACTTATGGCTCCTCTTCCTGTTATTAGTCCCACCTTTGGATGGAGGATAGTTCAGGTAGGGCTCTGGTCATTTCTAAGTGGAGCAAAGAAATGGTCACTATTGGCCTTACCTTTCTTAAAATTATAGACAGCATGTCAGACATTTCTCTTACCAATGTCATTGTAGGAATGTATTTGTTTGTTTGTTTTCCTCTGGGATTGCAAGGCCTAAATGATTTATTATCTGGTCCTTTACAGAAGAAGTTTGCCAACTCTTGCTCTAACCCATTATTATCCTTCTTCGAACAAACTCAAAAGATTCCAGACCATAGTACATGCTTCTTCCATCACCCTGGTCTCATTCTCTTCCTCTTCCCATCCTCAGGACTTTAATACTTGCTGCATCCTTTACCTAGAATGACTTTAAAGGTTCATTCTCATCCTTTAGGTCTTACCTCATATCACTGTCCAGAGTGAATCTCTCTTACTCCCAGTACTCACAAACCCCTCTTTATTTCTTTAATTATCTTACTTAATTTTTGCTTAGTCATTATCTGTTTCCTCCACTACAATGGAAGCTTCATGAGGCCAGGCAACTTACTGCCTTGTTCATCAGGGGACACTTAGTAGATGCTCAATAATGTTTAAAATTATAGTAAAATACACATAACACAAAATGTGTCATTTTAAAGTACATTCACATTGTTGTGCAGCCATCACTACCATCCATCTCCAGAACTTTGTCGTCCTCATCCCCCCCACCCCACCTCAGCCCAGCAACCACCATTTCACTTTCTATCTATGAATTTGACTATTCTAGGTACCTCCTACAAGTGGAATTATACAGCATGTGTCCTTTTGTAACTGGCTTATTTCACTTAGCAGAATGTCCTCAAGGTTTACCCATATCGTAGCATGTGTCAGAACTTTGCTCCCTTTTAAGACTTCCTTTTCCTTTATGTGAACATACTACATTTTGTTTTTCTATCCATCCAGTGATAACACTGTAGGAATTTCTTAATTTTAAAAAAATCTTATCAATAGTAAACACATTCTGGGTCTCTTAACTTAGGCTTAACTGAGCTTTAAAATTACAACTAATGTACAGTTAATATATTCTTAGTTTTATATCTAAAATTCCCAGTAGCGAAACCAAGAGAGTAATCAGCAGCAAACCCCAGGGATTTCGTAATAAGACAGTCTTTAGAAAGCATAGGGTGGGCAGCTTTTGTTTCTTTCAATTTTTTTTGTTATGGAGTATATTAAGCAGACAAAATAATATCATGAACTCCTATATAATCATCACCCAACTTAATATCTACCAACTCATTGTCAATCATATTTCATCTGTAACTTCATCAACTACCCTACTTCCTATATTATTGTGAAGCAAATCATTTGTCTCTAAGTATTTCAGAAGTCTCCCTAAATGGTTTTGATTTCTTAATATTTTATCAGGAAAATATTTTTCAGCCGAGTTTGTTTACAATGGTATTAGATACATGTCTCTAACTTCGTCATATAATTTGATGGAAAGCACTTTATTAATAAAATACCGGAGTATTTTAAAAGATTTATAAATGTCTGATTATTTCAAGAATGCAAACCCTGAAGAAAAATTTGCCAACATTTAGCTACACATGAAAATAACAAATGTGGGGCCACAAGGCGACTAGACTTCTTCAAGTGACTGGCAACTAGGCAGGGAATCAGAGACAAGGCTGTGGTTTTCCACTTCAGTGAGTAAAGAACTACGAGGAGCTTGTCTAAAAAGCAGATTCCCAGGCCCTGCTTCTGCGATTTCTTGTTAAGTCACACTAGGCTATGGTCCAGAAACATGCATTTCCAATAACTGCTGAAGATCATTCTGATGGAGAGGGTTCAAAACTGGCTGGAAACCCTGTTGCTAACTTTGCCTCTGATCTGCTTCGTGGCTTTGCCATTTGACATTTGTGCCTCTTATACAGTATTCCTCCTGGTGAAAATTTTCACGGACAGACCAAATAAACGTACCACCATCATCCAGCTTTGCCTTGCTTTTAATTCTCTACTTTGAATGATACACATTTTCTCCACAAGTTTACGTGACCATACAGTGTTCTACTGTCTCACTTGTGAGTATGATTAGTTTTCACTGTCTTTGGGAATTTTGATTACTTTATTGGTTTCCAGGAGCAACAATCTCAGCGAATCAGGATGACATTGGCCTGAGTAATTTATAATACATGTGCATTCAACACTACTAAAGAAAAGAAAAAAGGTAAGGCTATATTATCTGTTTTGGTAATATTCATAAGTTCCTTTGCATCAGGCTATGTTTATTATTAAAGCAGAATACAAATGCAATTTTGCTCAATTTTCTTAATTTCAAAACAGCACCTAAAGCAGCAATGCTTTTTATTAATTAACAGCACTCTTAGAAAATCATTTTGTGCTACCTAATTAAAATTTCAATTTCACAGTCATGGAGCCAAGACTGAGGGAAAAACTGAAAGAATAAGTGGCCTGAACATGAGGAAAATGTAATAGAGGAAAACAAAGAATAAAGGAGCGCTGGATGTCAGTCATTTCTCTAATCACATCAAGTGGCAGTGGTAAACTGAAGAGGACCGGAATACGCCATCCCCAAATATGCCACTTTGGCATTTGGATTGTTTTGAGCTGATGGAAATTGAGAAACAGCAGATGCAAGAAAAACTGTTTGCTCTCGCCGTTTCTGCCTAAAAGCTGAGCACAAATTTCCCTTTGTGAGGGTGTTACCCTCTCCCATACCAGGAAGGGAAAAATGTGTATTGCAGGAGATGGAGATGACATCGAGATAAGTCTACGTAAATGAAACTTCACTAAATCACCCTGCTTCCGTCACTTTCCCTAGTGTGTTTACTTTCCCACAATGTACTACGTGCAGAAGCCCAAAGCCCTTTTACTTTGTCTTGTCACCTCTCCACAATTTATCACCCTTTGTTAAGATGGCACATGAGCCCCTGGAGCTTAATTGCTTCTCTAGATAGTTACTTTACATGAAGGGCTCCATGTATGTGAAAAAATTGAAATATTAGCATCAGACAAAATTTGTATGCCATTTCTCCTGTGAGTGTATCCTTTTCAGTCTAATTCGCAGGCCCTAGACACAGAATCTAAGAGGAAGGTTTGCCTCCCCTACATCATTATTTGGGAAATTAATCCACTGGGCATTTGTTCATAGAGTTTTCTTTTAACTAGGCAGGAACAGTGGTAAAATAGAAAGAATTCTGAAGTTAGATAAGCCTGGATTGAAATCTTCAATCTATTGTTTAATGTATGATCTTGGGCAAGTTATTTAAACCCTGTGCCTCAATTTCTGCATCTATAAAACAAAGATGATAAGACTGCTTTAATGTAATTGTGAGGGTTAAATAAGATGAGATATGTAAAATATTTTGATTTGTATTTCTGTTGTTAAAGATCGGGAAGAGATGAAAGTTTAAGAAGTAGGATGGATCAAATGTGAATCTTGAGCTTGTCTCTTTCTCAAGTTGAGGCTAATGGAGAAATACAAAGGGGTCCCACTGTGTTAGCTGGCAGTTTTGCAACTGAAAGAGGAATCTGAGAAGAATACAAGATCCCAAAGAGTATAAAATAAGGCACAGAAGGAAGCAACTACTATTGTGGATACTGGTGAACGATCACAGGAGGAAGGGAGTGGGGAAGGAAAAGAGAAAACCTGCCTGAATATCAATATATAGCAGAAGATTTTACCCAATAATTCTGCTGGAAGGGGCCTCTACTAAGGACATAATCCAAAACACATAAAAATAACTGAGCACACAGATGGTCATCTCAGCCTTACGAGACAGAAAAACTAAAAGCCTAAACAACCAAAATGTATAAAGTAATTAACTTACAATATTATTATGTGATGGAACATTACCTAGTCATCATAAACCATACAGATGAATGTATACATTTCAGCTCAATTCTGTAAAAAAAAAGTAAACAGATGAAAAAAAGACTGGGAGGACATACAAAATAGTATTAAAAGTACTTAACTTTGGGCAGTAGACTGAATGTTGAAATTCAATGCACTTCTTTTTAGGGCTGCCTATTTTGAAAATTTCTACTCTTAATCTGGGTCATTTTTATAAGCCCCCTCTTAAAAAATACCACCACCACCACAAGAGCAGCAATAAAAGTTTATTCAAAAACCATATGCCTGTAAACCATCTGTAGTGCAGGCATTCTTTGTTATCAATGAAAAGGAGAGCCAGTCACTTCAAGTTTCAGACTGATAGGTGGCCGGTGGTACTTAAAGAGTCTGAGGTCTGTGTTTCCTCCAGTGTGGGAGGGCCTCCCCTGACTCCACAGGGAGAAAGCCTGCCCCCCCCCGCCCCTTCAATAGTAGATTTAGATTCTCAACTGAAGCCTCAGGATTTTGTACTTGGAGCATGGAGGAGAGAACCCTGGGTAGACCTGGAAGCCTGTGATTCCCAATAGCCCACATTACCATAAAGGGACCTCAATGCGACTACCAGAGAGCGTTTCATGTTGAACAGGACCATGTTCATGTGTTTGATCATAAGAGATGTAAATCTGATAACTAAATCAGGTGACTTCTCTTTCCCTGGGCCTGGCAAGAGTTTAAAACTATTTCTTTCGATATAGTAGGCACTTTGGTAAGGAAGTCACCAGCAATTTTGAAATTATTTTTGAATCAACATGCCATTTTTCAAAGATTAAGTTAGATAGACTCTTAGTCCAACCCTGTACTACATTTGTATTTTTTGTTATGCATAAAAGTGTTACAAATAGTTTCTACAGATATAATTTTTTTTCCTACAGATATAATTTAAATATCATGTTCCCTAAATTTTAATTCTAATGTTGTACCCCCACCGTTAATGGCTCAAATAATCACTCCTTTCTCTGATTCAATTTCCCCATAACAGAAGGCTTTTTAGCTTCTAATATTTTCTGTACAAAATTTTCCCCATACCTTTATATATTTGTTTTTTAATCTAATTCCAGTACTTACTTTAGATGAGATACCGGAAGAAAATATTTCTACTGTCACATCAGGCATTTCTTCAAAGTCTTCTCCCTGAAGATGTCATTTCTGTGAGCAAAGGATATTATGCTAAAGTATCTGGAATGAACACCAGTTAGGACAAGCAAAAGCAGCCCCAGGTAGGCCGCAGTTAGATAAGGAAGAAAATAACCTATGTTTTCTCAAGCAGAACAAAACAATTGAGGGCAGTCTAGAAGACAAAAGACAATCAGGTAAATTATTTGTTGAATAAATAATTTCAAAATGTGGGTCTTCTGTATTATAGAACCAGAGTATTTAAAGTTACTGGTAGCAAAATAAGGTTTTAATACAATTTTTCAGAAACACACATAAGTTAGAGAACCTCAATTTAAGGAAATAGATTAGATAAGCGATTTTTAAAAATTTGTTACCCTCAGAAGCTAAATCAATAGTCACCAAAGTGCTGGATTAAATCATCCATACCGAGAGCAATTAATGTAACAACAGCCTCAATAAAGCCTCATTAAATAATCAATTAGACTCATTACAAAGAACAAAAGATTTAGCAAAAAGCTCCTGGCCAGTAGCATGAGTTTCATTTTTAAAAGGCCACTTCAACTAGAGCTGAAGGCATGGGGCATTTGCCCTTGAAAATAAATGACAGTCCAAAGGATACATGATTTCCAGTACTCTGAATTTTATGATTATTTTATGACGACATTGGGCACGTTCAGGGTGGTATGGCCGTAGACTTTATGATTATTTTAAATACTATTCTGGAAACTCTAGTTTTCTTTCAGAGGTAATACTGTTAAATTTGCCACAAGACTTCTCAGAAAAAGTAATTTTATAATACCCCAAATTCTTAATTTTCCCCCCATGGGTACTTTTCTCCTTTCCAATGATTATCAACTGGAAAATAAGATTAGTATTTGTTTTAATCTTCAGTTTTAGATGTACACTTATTCATGAGTTGCTGTGTGACCCTGGGCTAGTTACTTGACTTCTCTGGGTCCCCATATCATCACCTGTAAAAGAAAAGTTGGCTTAGAGGTGATTTCTAATAGGGATTCTCAACCTTCCCCATCCCTCCCTACAGACAGGACAACAGCAGCAGCAGGGGCTCACCCAGCTACTCTCTCTTCCTTTGGGGGAAATCATTGATCTAAGATTAGTTTTAGGTATAAAAAAATCTATGAGTCTATATAGTGATAATGAGATTTAAAAAAATCTGAAATTGTGCAACCTTGAGATGCATTTTTTTTTCTTTGCTGTTCCTTCATCTAACCTCTGTTTCTTTAGCACTGTGCAGGACTCTGATACAACAGACATGGTTCTTGAATAAAATCATCTTTTCTGAGGTTCTTAGTAAAAAAAAAATGTGTAATTTAAAGAAAGTGAAGTCTATGCTATCATGGCTTTCAATATATTCCATGCTTCTCTGTCCATTTGATAAAATTAACAGGAAAATCTCTACAATAAATTAAGAGCAGCATATGACAAGCACTGCCCCAAGCTCCCAGACTTTCCAAGGTAAGAGGTCAGAGCTTCATTTACACGTTTTGGCTACTCCCAGATCCTAGGCTATCATTGGGCTTACTGGTTATCTGCAAAAACATTTTAAGGTAAGACAGCTCACTAAGATAAAGGGCTTTCTACGAGGACAGAATGTGCTGGCATCTCTTGTATCACACTTACGGATCGAGCTATGACATTATTTGTCAGGGTAAACAATTTACGTCTACAATATCAACTATTTAATTTTGGACAAATTTATGAAGTTTTTCCAGCAAAATCAGACCAGAATTTCAATTTTGGACGTTACTATAAAGCCCTCTTCCCTAAATTTTAAACCCTTTATCCTGCTTTTAGGAAACATAATTGCATAATTCAAACTCCTTCAATATTGTGACCTAGTTCCCCCTCTTGATGTTATAAACGGCTCATGTAACTATGGTAACCATCCAGGGAAAACTGAATGTTTTTCTGGTCAGCAATATGCAAAGTATACCATATGTGTTATTTTCTTCTCTCTGGGATAACCAAAGTGGGTAATACGTGCTTGTTTTTTCTCTTGGTTATGGGAATGGCATTTTATCATACTGAATTTTCTATGACTATAATCCTAGTGATAGAGTCCTTCATTAAAATATTTTAAGATCATCTTTTGCTGTTAGTAGTCATTCTAATTGCTGAACAGTACTGTAACCTATAATAGGATTAACTGTACACACCAATCTGTGCTTGTCTCCCTCGTAAACTAAATGTGCAGGCTAACAGTACCCATATTTCCAATATTCCATCTCGAAAATCTACATATTTTCTTAACTTTGTCCTTTAGTCCTAGCCAAAGTGTTTCCATAAAGCAAAAAACTAAAATGGAATCATCTTGGGGGTGTACTTAGATACCAAGATTTATTTCCAGTTTTTAGTGATTTTATATGTCTTTGTTTTTGGTCTATTTTTTTCCTACAATGTGTACTACTTATGCAACCAAACAATTAAAAACTGAGCTCAGTGGAGCTGCAGACCGTTAGTATTTTTCCTTGTTGTTATTGCCTGTTGTACTAATGAACTGATTTAAAATTTAAGGGTTTTTTTAGTACAATTTAAAATGTTTCACTTAGATCTTTTAGAACAAATTATACAACAAATGCTCAGATTTTTAAGGATTTATTTATCTGCAGTAGGTGCAATTACATTTCTACAGGGGGTATCAGCTGGTGACCTTTTAATATGAGTATTTTGTTCAGAGTGATTTTCTTGAATTTCCCTAACAATCCAAATATCTTCCTTAGAAAAACATTGCTATCTGCTGCACTGAATTAAATAGGGAATTAACTGCCTCTTACTGGTTTGGAAAAGACCTAACCAAATGCAGTGTGGAATGTTTGGATCCTATTGAACAAACCAAGTGTAAAAAGATTTTAATGAGACAATAGGGAAATTTCAATTGTCTGCATATTAAATGAGAGTAAGATAATTTTTGGATGAGATAATGATATTGTGGATGTTTTTAAAAAATCATCTCTTAGCCGTTCATATTTTAAAAGTATTTACAGTGACAATGAGTGTGTATATGTCCATGAATGACTGAAAAATTGTGCTGAACACTGGAATCTGACACAACACTGTAAAATGATTATGAATCAATAAAAAATGTAAAAAAAAAGATAAAAAATAAAAAAATAAAATAAAAAAATAATAAAATATTTACAGATAAAATGATAACAACCCAGCAACGGTAAGGGAGTGCAAAGGGTTAGAGACGAAACTGTTATGGGCTATATATTGGTAAAAGTTCAAGGTGGGCGAATGGTATATTAGAGGTCCTATGACCTCTACTCTTTTTTTTCATTGTTGATTTCTTTCTATTACCTCTACTTTTGTGTGTGTTTGAAATTTTCCACAATAAAGGTTTTAAAAATATTAAAAAGTAGAACAAAAAAAAGCATTTCAAATGTGATTGGCCTGACTCAAGCAGAAGCCAAATCTTCTCCGGAGGTATCTTTAGGAATCCTTCAGAACTATTTGTAGTTTGTTTTTATAGTTTTCTCAGTTTGAATTGGTTACTCCCTCACAATAGTATAAATAAAGGTCTACCAGGGACCCGTTAAACATTTCCTACCATCCTACCAGGTACCCCTTAAAGTAACTGATTTAAAAGGAAAGGTAATGGTGAGGAGAAGGCATAGCTCAGTGGTAGAGCACATGCACGAGGTCCTTGGTTCACTCCCAGGGACCTCTATTAAAGTAAATAAATAAATGAGCCTAATTACCACCTCCCCAATAAATAAATAAGAAACTGCCACTTTAATAAATAAATAAATAAATGTAATGCCAGGTACTTCTACTAATTCAGGGGTATTATCTTTTTTAAGGTTACTTTATGGTAGAAAATATGTAATGAAAAGCAAATAGATGTCTTTTTGCTTTATTCACAGGATTAAATATCACCTTAACTGTATATTGTGGAGAACCGGGACTTTTAAATATTGCATTTAGCATAGTATAGCAACCCAATTTGAAAAGGCCCCAAATTTCCAGGTAAGTGATTACTGAGGAGAAAGAACATGATAAATAACCAAGGTCAAGGGTTGAATTTGAGGAGTATGGTGGGTTTTTTCTTTTTTAACTCTCCCCACAGAGTCTGCTTTCACAAGTATGGCAGGAAGAAGCCTTTAACTTTTATAAATTAATAGAGCAAGAAAAGCACATGTCTGGAATAATTCATATAGACACACATGTATACACATATAGGAGTGTTCTTTCTAGGTTTAGATCAACACAAGCTGAAAAATCATTGTTTGGACTCTGCTTCCTTTCAGCCTGTTCAACAGAATTATGAAAGGTGAAAAGAATGCTGTAAAAGGCCTTCATTTCCACACATCCTTCCTTCCTCTCTTCCTGTTCTAGGTTCCTGGAAGGAGTGCTCTAGGTACTCCGAACCACTGCCTTTTCTCTCTTCTAGTTTCTAACCTTGTGTAATATCTGCCTGCAGATCCCTGAATAAAATCCATACGTGCATTTTGTGTCTAATCTGAATCAATAAATAATAAAGCACTTGCTTTATTTTGGGCCTTCAATAAAAAAAAACTAGCTGATTCAAATCTATGAGTAAACATAAGTAGGGTCTTGAGATGAAAAATAATTCAATCCTTTAAAAAATTTTTTTTTATTTTTGGTGTTTTTTTGGGGGAAGGAGGTAATTAGTTTATATTTTTTTATTATTTTATTTTATTTTATTTTATTTTATTTTATTTTATTTTATTTTATTTTAATTTTTAGAGGAGGTACTGGGGATTGAACCCAGGACCTCTTGCGTGGGAAGCATGAGCTATCCGCTCCCCCACTTCAATTCTTAACTGTGATTTGTTTTTTGACTAGATGGGGCTGGGTCATCTGAAAAATTTAAATAGAATGACAACAGTAAAATCTCTAGATGGTTCTCAGAAATACAAGACACTACTGTCTGGGTTGACTTAATATTCAAGTGGTCAAAACATCAAAGTGTCACAGAATAATAACACAATCTCCAAGTCTTGTGTAATACATATACATATTTTGCTCCCAAGTCGCAAATTTCCAAGAGTGCTTTGTTTTGGTTTCAAATTTAAAATATCCTCTAGATCAAGGTCTAGATTTCTCTTTGCATGTCAGCGGTCACTTACTATTAACAGCTGTTACAAAAGTGCTGTAAATAAGTGACCACACAGGCGCACCACCGCTGCGAACCAACTGGATGTAAGAAAGCCAACTGTATCACCCACTTACATTTGGTTTTTAGCCTAAAGGTACTACTCACAATAGTGTTTGTTTACGTAGGCATTCCATTAAAATTCTCTGTGTATTCGTTCTCTTTACACCCATTTCTTTGCAAAAACACACGCTATGATATACCCTGAGACCATGTGGAATTAAAATCGGCTCCTCTGCTTGGCATTTCATTTAACATCAGACGGAATTGAAACCCTGGCAGCCGACCACGTAGATGAGGACGCGGGCCTGACTACTGGTTAGGTTTTTCTCGCTTCTGTTACCCCTCGTCCCTCCAGTGCTTTTCAGTCTCAGGGTAGAAAGACATGTAAAGGCGGCGGTGCCCTTCACGCCACTGGGAGACCTCGCCGACGTTTCATGCTTAAACATTCTCGGGGGGTGGAAGGACATTTTTTTTTTTTTTAAGGTTGTCTGTTGGCCAAGGTAAGGGGCAGAGCCAGCCTATATTAACCGAGATTCCTCATGCGCCGGAGGGTGGGCAAAACCTGCAAGGTCCCTGGGCGGCGGGAGGCCCCGCGTCTGAGGAAGGGAGCGAGCGCGCCGAGGCCAAGAGGGAGATTCAAACGGCGGGCGGACTACGGGAGAAAGGACCCGCACGGCGCCGCGGGGGCACCGCCTACCTCCGGGATCAGTCCCCGGTGCTCGGGGAGCCCGAAAGCCGCGGCGGGAGGACGGAACCTGCGGGGAGGAGGACACAGCCGCCGCGCATGCCCGGAGCCGCG